AATGGGCAGAAAACATGAATAGCTCTTTTGTTTAGATGAATACAGCTCATTGGTAGATCAGGGTCCCTGCGATACTAGGGAGCTTGCACTCTATCCTATTGGTAAACAAAAGCCATTAAATGGTTTTAAGATATATGCTTGTTTTAAAGGCCACAATGTCTTTCTGAACTGCTTCAATCCTTCTTCCTGACTTGCACATTCATTAGGCCAGAAGTTGACAACTATGGCCCACAGGTCAAATCCAGCCTATTTTTTTTTTTTTTTTTGTAAAAAAAGTTTTATTGGAACACAGCCACTCTCATTCATTTATCTATTTTCTATAGCTGTTTTTGCACTGCAATGGCAGGGTTGAGTAGATGCCAAAGGGATGACAGGGGTTGCAAAATCTAAACTATTTACCATCTGGCTATCTACAGTTGGTAGACTCCTGCATTAGGTAATTAAAATTGACATTCCTTGCGAATGGGTGGAAGGACAGTAAATAAAAACTTTTGAGCTTTGATGTGAAGTTGAAAGAAGAGATGGAGAGAAAAACAGTTTCTTTCTTTCTTGAGTATAGCTCAAGGGTATTATTTTTGGATATGCCATTTTACTATGACTATTTTGAAATGAAATATTTGAGATGCCTGCTTCATTCCCTACTCCAGGAACTTACCATAATGTTTGCTGGAGACACTTAGCACCTAGAAGTAGGAGGACTGAGGTCAGTCAGAGCTTCCATTTCACAATTCAGTTCCTCTAATCGTCTTTTTGTCTTTTATCTCAACCTTGTCTTTCTATAGAACTTCTCTCTCCCCCTCACTTCCTTTCACTCTCTGCATGCAATCAATGACCAAGTCATGACAATCTTCTCTCCTACTTCTTGACTCCATTTTTTCCTTCCCTCTAGCCATAGCCCAGGCATACATTATCTTTCCATTAGACAATATCAATATCTCAGAACCGGACTGGTCACCTTGCCTTGAGGGTTCCCTCAGGTAATCCATCTCTATGCTGCCTTCAGAAGGGTCTATGGAAATGAAATTCTGTTTATGCCATTTTCTGGCTTAAAACATTTCAATGACTCCACATTTCTAACAAGATAAAAATCCAAGATCCTTGTTATGGCATACAAAACTCTATAGGCCTACTTCTCTGGCCTAATCATTTATTTCATCTCATTTTCACCTTTCAGACCTTTTGCTTCACTAATACCTATCTATGGGTGCTGTCTTAAACACACCATGATGTTTATATCCTGGATTGGTGTAGATGTTGGAATGTTTCAATTATCTTCCATTTGTATGGGGAATTGTTACTCATCTTTTATATCTCTCTATGTAAAGTTCTTTGACTCCTAAATAGAGCTCATGGCTCCTCTGTTTTATTTTTGAACTTTGACATTATTCTATTATTGCATATACTGCACTGCACTGTCATTTGTTTACATGTTCTTCTCCTTAGTAGACAGTGATTCCTCCAGGGATGAGAAGGACTGGGTTTCATTCAACTATTCCTGGTGTGGAATAGAATCCCAATATACAGTTTTTAACAAACTGAAAAATTTTAAAAACTGTATATTGTAGAAATGTTGAATATAATAATACTTAATACTACTACTTTACTTCTACTCCAGTTCCTCTGTATCTCTCTCACACCTTGTCTCCCTTTTGTTACCTCCCTATAGGATACATTTTCCCCTGGATCTCAGGCCCTGTGGCTGGATCCCACCCTCTCTTTCCATATATCCTTGTCACATTCTGTCTCCTAGAATCACCAACCAATCGCAGGCACCACCCTTATTTGTTTTCTACCTGCTGGTGCAACTCTCACCATCAGCCCATCTGCCACTGGCCCTCACTAATGCCAATTTCCTACGGCCAGCCTCCAGCCCTTACAGTCTTTCCTCTAATTGCTGGAACCTCTTAGGGTCAACTGCCATGTTCTGGAAGGTGTATCTAATGCTTCTTGGTCTGCTGCATTTTATTTGCTAACTAAGCCTCGATTGTGAGAGTTGTCATAAAGAGGCTAATTCATAGTGAATTGTTAGTTTTTAAATCCATCTTGCCCTTTTTAAGCCAATAGTTAGCTTAAAGGGTAGTTTCAGGTGGCTAAAGACATTAAAAAGGCATAATTATGTGATGACTCGGCTTCTTTATACTGGGAAGTATAGAAAGGACACACTGAGTTATTGAAGACATTCCTATGTTTATTTAACACACATCTACACAAAACATAAAAAAATGTCAATCTAGCAGTTTAATGTATTTAGAATAATGTATCCACATTAACAAAATGAAAGTAACACAGCACACTAGATGAATGTACAAGCACTGGGGTCCAACAGACTTGAGTTTAAATTTTGGCTCAAATTTACCAGCTATGTGATCTTTGGACAAGTTATTTAGCCCCTGTTGGGTCTTAGTTTCCTCATCTGTAAAATGGCATGTCACAGATACGCATATGGTTGTGAGGACCAAATGAAATAATATATATATGATGGTACACAGAAAATGCTCAATGAATGGTGGCTTTACAAAATGTGACACCTAAAATCGCCCTCTCCCTCAGTGGCATGAGAAAGTGAAGGATAATGCAATATGTGAGCAACGTGATAGGCCATGTGATCTATAAAACTATAAACTTCAACTTACAAATTCTGTACCAAAAGTCATAAACAAATTGCTAATATGCCATAAAGACAACATTCTAAATGGTGGTTTTAGGCTGCCCACATCAGCTAATTTAAACCATTTTACACTTGAAATATAATACAAAGTATACAGTACTATATAATTATTGTTGTTCTCATGGTAGTGGCACTTCCTAGGGGATGGGGGTTCCTGAAGGAGGAGAGCTATCAATGATCTTGGGAGTAGAGTAAAATAGACCAGTCTGCTCATCAGTATGTGTGGATAAATGAGATACTACTTGTATTAAGAAAAGAGATATCATATGTCATTTTCAGAAAAAAAAAATTGAAGTAACAAACTATAAGAAAAACCAGATTCATTCTTTCACATAAAGAATCACAATTATCACTTGGGCTAGCATCATTGTGGTGATAATAGAGAATGTCTTGGTGTGCTCTTGCACACTTTAACTTGTATTAAACAGAGATCACTTTATATTTTTAGTATGTTTTCAAATCATAAATAGTTCCATATGAACACAAGGGAGATAAGACTATGCTATTCAACATCTATACATTTACAAATAAGAAAAGCAGATGCAAACTTGCTAACAGGTAAAATAAAGCATTTTACTTGTAAAAAAGGGAATCTGCCGGTGCTTATGTTTGCTATATAGCCTAAAGCCTTAGGTGATATTCTAAGAGCTTTTATAGATAATTTAGAAAACAAAAGTAATCAATTAGTGAGTGGGTTAAACATATGATGAAATACTGGAATTAGAAAAGTTTATCTGAACACACTAGCTATTTATAAATATTATTACTGATGCCCTTTAAAGTAGGTATTACTTCTCCCCAAAGTGATGTGAGGTTAAAGCTATATAACAATTAAAACTATTCATATTTAATAGCATATAATTAGTACCAGAAGTAGCATTATTATTGTTTTTTATTATGATAACATTGAAGTGTATCTTCTGAGGAAGCAAGTTACTTCATAACAAAATTATTCTTTAATTATAATCTTTTAGCTGATAGTTCAGATCACATTAGCACTTGTATAATAAGCCCTTATGTAAAATGCCTTCCATTTTGGCTAAAAAAACATTAAAGTTCACTCAGTAATAAAAATGACCTAAGCTATCTGGCTTAAAACATGTTGGCAATTTCTGCTCAGAAAAAATTGGAACATCAAAGCAAAAATGCCTTGGTCATTTTAGGCCATAAATGCAGAACTGGAACCATCTTGGATTCCTATTAAACTAATAGAATGAATGATAGAGAACTTCCCACTTTTGATATCACTGGCTGAATAGGAATATCCAGGATCACCATTTGACTCTGAAGATGAGAAACAAAGAATGTGGCAAAAACTACAGATGCATGGGGTCATGGCCTTGCCATTGTGACTAAAAATTAAAGGGACAATGAAGCCATTTGCTCCTACGAGATCCCGGCCACTAGTAGGATTGAAACTTCTATCTGTGGTCTTAAAACAATGTTAAATTATCCATTTATTGATTCAATAGATATGCCAACTATATCTGTGAAAAGTTTAGACTTGTGCCTCAAAAAATATATTTTCTGTTCTTTTCCTGTCAAGTGCAGAGAAATACATTTATATATAAAATGTATTTATATACATATATATATGTGCAAAGATCTATATGCACATAGATCTTCATCTGAATGAAATCATAGTTCATTTTTGGCAGCTTTTCTCAGCCTGCGCTATACCAGTTCATAGCCTTGCCCAGAAGTGCTGTCACAAAATTCCACCTTGATTTAGCATATTCCTCAGCAGCTATGACAGTAGCTTTTGGAACACCAGTTTGTGTCAAAACATTAAAGGAATCATGTTAACTGTGAGAAACTAAGTTACATGATCTTTTCCAAAATTAAAAAAAATGGGTTAAGACCATTTAAAAATTACATTTTGTATGCAATTACTTACTGACTTAGTTATACTCCTTTTGAAATGACTCAGAAGTTAATAAAGAAAAACGGTTCATGTATTTCAAAATAATAAGAGGCCAACAGTTTAAATTAGAAGCAAAGTTTCTTTGGAAAACTGGCATTATAAATTCATTTTTCAGAATCTGTATTTCTAACATCTTCCATCCATATTCCCACAATGGAACTCCTAAATTCTTTCTTGCAATTCATTATTGTAGTCAAGAATGTGAAAATATTGGATACTATATTTCAAGTATATTTAAAGAAACTTTGTCATTCATAGGAAAAAGTTTAGGGGCAAATTACAGAGGTAGTATTAAATGACAGAGATGCTTTTATAGTCTTTTTTCCCACATCCCAGAGGAAAAAACAACTTACTGTCCCTATCACACCAAGTTTTTAACACAAAACTGAGAAACACCAACAGCCTTACCTGTTTGACCGCATTATCATTTCCTAAAGCACAGTCTGGGCCAGAGCAGACATAAATGTTGGATGGTAAATCATTATAAGAGTTCCTGCTGACATCTGAAGAATCTCTCATATTGAAGTAAAGAGCCCACAAAAGTCTTGGTTTCTCATCTTCTTCATTTTCTAAATGTAGACATAAATTTTAGTCACATCTAAAGCACAATAAGCCTGTCATTTAATACACTATGTAGCCAATTACTAACAAAGCCATGACTGTATAGTGTAGTAAATCAGAGCTCTGTATGTAAAAAAAATAGTAAATCTGTATCCACATACTCTAATACATGTGTATATTTCAAGCAATGATGGCTTTTCAACCTCAAATAAGATTACTAGTATGTTACTTAGATATAACACCAATTGTATTCTCTTCAATTTCTATTATTTCTTCTCAGCAGTATCATAGTGCTTCTGATCACATTCATCCTTAAATTATGTCAATGAAGAAGATAACATTTTTTTTATGTTTCTCATAAACCAACTTGAAAATTATATACAGTAAATCAATGATATATACAGGATTATGAGATATCCAGAAGAGACAAGTCTATAGAGACAGAAAGTAGATTAGTGGTTACTTAGGGCTGGGGGAATTCGAGTAAGTGAGGGATTACTGCTAATGGGTGTGAGGTTCTATTTTAGGTGATGGAAATATTCTGAAATTGTGGTGATGTGTGAACAATTTGATGATGAACATATTAAAAACCATTGAATTTTACACTTTACGTGTGTGAACTGTATAGTATGAAGATTATATCTCAATAAATTCATAATTATATCTTAATAAAGCCACTATTAAAAAATAGTGTAGGGGCGCCTGGGTGGCGCAGTCGGTTAAGCGTCCAGCTTCAGCCAGGTCACGATCTCGCGGTCCGTGAGTTTGAGCCCCGCGTCAGGCTCTGGGCTGATGGCTCGGAGCCTGGAGCCTGTTTCCGATTCTGTGTCTCCCTCTCTCTCTGCCCCTCCCCCGTTCATGCTCTGTCTCTCTCTGTCCCAAAAAAAATAAATAAAAACATTGAAAAAAAAATTAAAAAAAAAATAGTGTATATGGGATTAAAACATTGATATCCTAAAACACTGATGCTTTGTCCTACTGGATTATAAAAGCAATGGCAACTGGCAAAAAATAAAAATAAGGTTGCGAGTGCTTGCTTCAGCAGCATATATATTAAACTGGAACAAAGATAAAGATGTGAGACTTCAAGTTGTTTTTAGCACACATTCTCTCATTTAACAGCAAGCATCTATTATGTGTGTTAGGCATTAGGCTAGCAGCTAGAAATACACAGGTAAAGTAGACTTAGTCCTTAGGCTCCTGATTTTTTATATTCCCTAATACAGAGCCTAGCACATAACAGGCACTCAATGAACAATTGTTAAATTGATTTTAATCCTGCTTTCAGGTATAATCAAAATATGATGTGCTTATTAAAAGGTTCAACCTTAGGTGTATATAAAGATTACCCAAGACCATGGGGCACCTTGTGAATCATAAAGAAAATATTAAAGGTATAACTAGTTAATTACCTCTTATTGTTAAACTGGAAATCAATGTAGAGAAATTCACAGCTAATTGTAGTATTGAGTTAACAAGAATGCCCAATTCCCCAATTCAGGATAAACAGGATTTTGTTATATTTAATTTAAAATATCTCTACTACAGGGGTGCCTGGGTGGCTCAGTTGGTTGAGCGGCCGACTTCAG